AAGTGAAAATAGTTTATACACATCCATATTGGATGCACTTAATTGTTATTAAAGGTTTTAACAGTTTACTTTGGGTCAACCATAAAGTTAATAATTTAATATATTTGTAGTTTGAGCATACTTTTAAATACATCAAAGCAATGAATATGTGAAATGTCATGTTAAAAAGTTACTAGGTTTTGAAGAGCACCTTAAAGGGACTTGATGTGCTCTACTTGATAAATGCCTCAAGGCAGAAGAGGCATATAGACTAATAATTTTGGTGATATTTCTTAGTTAATGGGGTAGATTTTTAGACTAAAAAAGGAAAAGGCAGCTAAGGGGGAATGATGGAGTAATTATTGTGAGAAAGTTTTAAACAGGAACTTTTTTGTGACTATTGGACTGAAATATATTTGGTACATTTTATAAAAGTCAAAGTTTTTCTCTAAAGCAAATAATAGATTCTTTCAGGATTTCATTTTATTTGTATACTTGTTTAAAGATACATAAACATCCAGTGGAGAGTGATGACAAATAAAGGAATGGTAGTACTCATGACATTAATTTTTAGGACTGAATTATAATCCTAAATTCTAAAATCCTAATAATCTGAGAACAGTGTTACTTTTAGGACTGAAAATAACTTTAACTAGGTAATTGGAACCAGTTTATCAAAGACTGAAAGTAGAATAAATGTGGATTTTTTTTGAAGTCTCAAAATAATTGAGATAAGCAATAGAAAATAGAGTTGAACAAATAAGCTTTAATTACTTCATATTTTGTAGTGAGGGAAAAAATCAGCCAGTTTGCATATGTTGGATTTAAAAACTTTTAATCCATTAAGAACCGTATTGATTTTACTGTATTTAAGCACATATTTGATAAATGTTAAACTTTAAATATAGAAGAACAGAATCATATGAGGAAACTTTGTCTCTAGTTTTTTCAAAATAGTGATAAGATACATAACACAAAATATACCAGTTTAACAGTTTTTAGTGTACAGTTCAGTGGCATTAAGTACATTCACATTGTTAATGTAATCACCACCGTTTATCGCCAGAACTTTTTTCATTTTCCCAAATGGAAACTATCCCAGTTAAAATAGTAACTACCCATTTCTCCCATCCCCCAGCCCCTGACACCACCATTCTACTTTCTGTGTATGATTTTGACTACTCTTGTGTTCCTCATGTAAGTGGAATCTTAAAGTATTTGTCCTTTTATGACTTGCTATTTTCCCTTAGCATAATGTCTTCAAGGTTCTTCCACATTGTAGCATGTGCCAGAATTTCTGTCCTTTTTAGGGCTGAATAATATTTCTTTGTCTAGAACATAGTGGAAAATTTAGCTATACATCTGGGTATGTATTTGTTATGGTCTTATTTCCTTTAGTATTATAGTAACCTTGACTATTAAGAACATAACTAAAAGGTAAGCAGGATAGGTCTCAGAATAGGTGTATGCATTTGAGAGCCAGCCATTAGAAGGGGAAGACTGCTACAATTAAACATGATAGAAGCAATGAGAAATTACCTTATTACAAAGAAGAGCTAGGAAAAATTAGTATCAGAAGTAAGCAGAGGAACTTTGAAAAGCAGATGGGTTTGGTACTATTTAAAATGAGGCTTAAATAGCTCTTTGTGGCAACAGAGACCTTGAGGACATGGTATATTACAATATTATATTGATCACGGATAATCTTAAGACAAATATTAAAATGGGCATCATGCATTTAAATTACATTTTTATCTAGTTGGAATTATAGAACATTAGTAATTTGCAGAGTATTATATTGACAGTTAAAATTACAGAGCCAAATGTTAGACTCTTATATAAGCCAAGGAGGGAGTGAATGCTACGCATATTTTTAGAGTTCCATCCCCCTACCTTGCACTAGGCACTTTGTTCCAATACACTCTGTACTAGCTCAAATTGAGCAAGACACAAATCCACTCATTACATTTACAGTTTGTTAATTTATACTTGGGGCAAATTATGTGGAATTTTAACCCCATCTTCCATCAAAACATTTACATTTTCTCCTTAGGAAAAGTATAAGTTAAACAGGTAGTGAACATTGATAGGCTTTAGGAGAATAAAACTCATATAGTATGATTTTTACACATATGTAATTGCTTTTTGCTTGGTAATGTTTATGGCTCTGCTTTAGTTCAGAAACTGCAGAGCATGTGGTTATAACTTTATTTGGCCTTTGTTTAACTACATACACATCTCAAAAGTTATGTTAACCTCTTTGTACTTACAACTCTTGGTTTATAGTCAGTATTGGGATTTTCCTCCCTCTTCTGAAACACAGCAGAATATTTGGCGTGTTCATTAACCGTACTTCCATTTATACTTCCATTTCAAGAAAGTTATTTTGGTAATGCTTTCAAGTGACAATAAATACTTCAAAATTATAACCAAGAAACTTGGTTTGAAGTTATAACCAAGGAATTGTAAAGTTTGGGGAAAATTATGTGATTTTTTTTTTGGATACATATCCTGTATATTTTACAATATTGGCTTTTGATTCTTTTTCATATTAGCTTGATTGAAACCATTGGCTCAGGCTAATTAAGGTTAATGGTTAAGGTTTTATATATGCGCTCTCATCAGCTTTGAAAGAGTAACACAGTGACTCATTGCTAATATTCATCATCTATTTTTGTCACCTTACAAAATTATTCTCAAGTTACAAGATTGTATTAGTGTTATTTTTGTTTGTAGCATCCAGAGATCAAGTAATAAAACATTTTATGAAAATGCGTTATTTTGTTTTGTGATGTGTTTAGCCCAAAGCAGTAACAACACCAGCAGCAGCTACAACTCAGCAGTCGAATTCTGCCACCACTACCACAGTTAGCTCCTCCACAGCACCAGCTGGGGCTCAGGCGCCAACCCCTGCCCCTGCTTTGGCTCCTCCTCCCACACCTGCATCCATCACTCCAGCAACAACGACGACATCCTCTGAACCTGCACCTGCTAGTGCAACGAAACAAGAGAAACCTGCAGAAAAGCCAGCAGAAACACCAGTGGCTACTAGTCCAACATCAACTGATAGGTAAGAACTGGATTCTAGGAAATTGTATCTCAGAATATATTCATAACAAGAACTTCATGTGTGTATTTATTTTGCTTATTGCTTTGATCAAACTAACTTTCAATCTGCTGTGTTAAATTTTTTTCTATACTTTGAACCCTGACTGAAATAGTATGCTTATGTCTGTTTTAATTTCCATAACTGGATTTATATATTCTAAATTGTTTTTT